GTGTCACCTTCACAAATACTCCTGTCCCCCTCCTTCAAATGTAATGGTGAGCCTAGCACATTTTCCTGTCCTTCCTGGGCTGGAACATTTTTTCCATTTTTCTTCACCAGAAGTAGTGCGTTTCCACCAGTGCTCTTAGCTTCTATTGCCCTTCCTTCTGCAGATTAAGGGTTTCTTCCCCTCAGGAGAAAGAGAGTAGATTGATCTGAACAGAATTTTAGTGGTTATGTGCACTGAGTTTTAGTGTTGGCTATTCCACTGCCAACTGCAGTGAGTTTCTACCAGTTCTATCAAGCTAGGTTTTGTTGCCCTTCCCCTGAATACTAAGGCTTTTTCCATAGAAAATATAGAGAAAATTGACCAGAATGTTAGCAGTGGCTATTATTCTGTTTCCCTCTCCAAGCCAGAACTATATGATATCTTTCTCAGGATTCCTTAGCCTTCACTGTGACCACCTGGTTGAATTCCTGAAAGAGTATTGCAAGAAGATGTAAAACTACCTGTGTCTGCAGCCCTTATGAGCTTCACATTCTCACACTAGCCCACAACCTGCCTTTAGCAATTCTTTAATAATTTTTAGGGTTGGCATCTTAGTTCACAACTATAATCCCAGCTATTTGGGAGACAGAGATGGGGAGGATCTTGGTTTGAAGTTAACCCAAGCAAAAAGTTAGTGACACCCATCTCAACAAATAAGCCAGAAGTGGTAGTACATGCCTGTAATCCCAGATGTGCAGGAGCACAGGTAGGAGGATCACCATTTGAGGCCAGCTCAAGAAAGAAACAGGTGACCCTATCTGAAAAATAACTAAAGAAGAAAGGGCTGGGTCACAGCTCAAGTGGTAAACTACCTGCTAGCAAACACAAGGCCCTAAATTCAAACCCCACAAAATAATTTTTATCTGTATCTTCTTAATAAGTTTATATGTTGTTCAACAGTATCTACACCAGTAAACAAGTGTCTGGATCCTCTTGCAGACGTCTGTTTCTACAGGTTTGGGGTTAGCTATTTGCATTGCAACCCTAGTTTTCTGATGAGTTCAAGAAAAATCGTAATGTGCATTTTTTAGCTTTTTTTCTTGTAATGGTGAGAGAGAGAGAGAGATGCCTTCTCCAGCTCTACATCTCTGAGCTGATGCCAGAAAATCATATAAATCTGGGAATAAGCTCTTAAGGCTCTGTTTGTTTTCCAGCATCTGTACCCCAGTTTACCAATTCCCCCACGATGGTGATTATGGTGGGTTTACCAGCTCGAGGCAAGACCTATATCTCCACAAAGCTCACAAGATATCTCAACTGGATAGGAACACCAACTAAAGGTATGTCTCTGAAACCCTTTGTTCTAAATCCCCAGTACAGGACACTAGCCGAAAACTGTTAAGATAGGATGCCAAAACCAAAAAATGCCTCATAAATGTTATTACTAAGAATAGAACTACTACTACCACTATCTCTTACTACTTCTACTGTAAATTTTGTAATATTCTCTCTCTCTCTCTCTCTCTCTCTCTCTCTCTCTCGCTCTCTCTGTGTGTGTGTGTGTGTGTGTGTGTGTGTGTGTGTGTCTGTGTGTGTGTGTGTGTGTGTGTCTCTCTCTCTTTCTCTCTTTCTCTCCTGGATTTGAACACACTCTGCCACTAAGCTACACTCCAGTCCCAAAATCTTCTCTTCTTTTTTTCACAATTTCTCTTTACTATTCATCGAGTTTCTCTTTACCTATTTCACCTGTGAAGAGTTTCCCAATGGTTTTCTATGTACCAAAACCCAGGCCTAGTATCAGGAATGACAAAAATGGATGAGATTCATATCCTGTTCTTAAAGAGTTCTCATACTGAATGAGATACATCAGAATACATCACATCACCTAGGAATCCTCAGGTAGGGTGCTGAGGGGTCCCACAGAGAGGATTGCTAAGTGGAAGGCAGCAAAGCTTCCCTGAAGAGCTGGGTCCTGTGGGAGGAGACAGCCATTTGCAGAAGGGAAGGTGAGAAGGACCCCCTCTTATGGAGGACTGCAAGCTCTGAGGAACCTCTGCTGAGTGGAGGGGCACATGACACAGTGGCAGATGGGTCTCTTCCCTAATCCCTCTTTCTCTTGTCTGCTCCACTCCATTTAGTTTTCACAGTGGCCTCTAGAGTCATATTTCAAACCCAAACACTGACATGCCTCTAAGTGTCCTCTTGACCTGTAGGTTTAAACACAAGCTTCTTAGCTTGTCAGTCAAGGCCCTCCACAATTGATCCTTTCCAGGTTCTCAAACCACAGTGGATGACCTACCATCTCTCAGACATGCTCTGCTTTCTACCAGTGCTATACCTTTGCTCAAGCTGTTCATCTTCCTAGAATACTCTTGTTCTCCACCTTTACCCTCATACCCACTTACCCTGAAAGGCCTGGTTCAAATGCTACTTTCTCTAAGAAACCTGAGATCACCCCAAATCATATTTGTCTTCTTCCTCCTCACTCTTTTGCATGGCTGCATATTGTCTGTCAGAGCACTTAGCAAATTGTGTGGGAGTTCTCTGTTTGCTGGTGTACTCACTGTCCTACCTGCTAGATTGTGAGCACCTTAGTCTCCATCACAAAGATGTGGTTATTCTCTGGGACCCAAAATTTGTATCCTACTTCACAGAGTAGGGCTCAAAAAGTATTTGTTGGATGAATAAATGAAACATTATCTCTTTGATTGCTTATCCTCTTCCTTCTTTCCTTACCTCCTCTCTGGTTTTTCATTATTGCAAGTGGGAGGCTATGCCTTAGAGATTTAGATTTAGATTCTCCCTCATTATATAGAAAAGAGAAACAGAGGCCAGTCTGTTTGTTACCAGCTCAGTTACTGCTTGACCCTTAGTGATTGATTTTACTTCCTGGATCTGAGTTTCTTCATCTGTCCAATGAAGTAAGGCATTTAAAGGATTGGAGTTCATGATAAAGTAGAATTGTTTGGAGCCAAACAGATCTGGGTGTGAATCCTATATCACCAGTTATTAACTGTTAAAGTTATTTCCTATCTCTGAACTTCACTTTCCTTATTTGTAAAGAAGAAGTGGTGGTTTCTACCTTGCAGGATTGTTGTGAGTTAAAAATGAGATTGTAACCATAATTTGAAGCTTTCTAAATAAGCATATTTTATAGCTATAAATTTTACCTTTTTCAACTTCTGAGGTTCCTCCCAGAAAGGACATTTTCTGGGTTCTTCTCAACCTCTTCACTAGGGCTCCCTGCTTTCAGTGTTTAATTTAGGCCAGTATCGACGAGAAGCAGTGAGCTACAAGAACTACGAATTCTTTCTCCCAGACAACATGGAGGCCCTACTTATCAGGAAGTAAGTACCCAACATTTTAGAGACTTGTTGCTGCCCCTTGGTTGAGGGAGTCCTTTCTTCAGATATTGGGGGAGTGGAGCAGAATAACCTGGGCCAGAGAAGAGGCCTTCTAAACTCTCAAAGGCTAATAGAAGATCCCTTCCATCATCTTTCCCAAAGCCAGCTGCTTCTGGTCATAATCATCCCCTGCTCAAAAATCTTTTATAGTATCCAACTTCTAATAGAAACTTCTTAGCCTAGCATTAAAAAATATTGGCATGTAATAGTTGTATGGGGATACATTGTGATATTTACATATGTGCTTATAACATATCCTAGATTTACCCCCTCCATTGTTCTCCCTTTTCCCCCTTCCCCCCTTCTTAGAACAATTTCAACAGATTTCATTCTTCTATTTTCATATATGATTACAAAATACATCTACCATGTTCACTCTCATTCACCATTCCTTATGCCCACCCCCTTCCCACTGGTACTCACTCCCAGAAAAGACATATTTTACCCTCCTGCCCTTCAGTTTTTTAAGTGTACATTGATAGTTCAAGGGGGTTTCACCTTGATACATCAGTTAGCCTAGTACTTGAGATGAAAGTCTGTTGGCCTACTGTAGCCTTTTCAGTCTCATCACTTCATCCTCAAAGCGCTTCAGAATGGAACCCGAGTCTCATTTATTGATCCATGTCCTCATCATAGAACTCAGTAGTGAGTAATCATTAAGGAGATTTTTTGCTGAAAGTGTTAATACATTGCCACTGTTATACTAGTGCTTACAGTATTACCCATGCCAGGAATGCCTTTAACTTCAAACACTACCTGGGTTCATAAACCAGTTCAGCTTAAGCTCCATTAACTCAAGGGTTGAAGTCCTTAAAATTAGGAATGCTATCATTACTCAAATTTTTCTGGGCATGTCATTTTATACCTGCCCCTAAGCTGTACATATAGAGCCAATTTCAACTGTGTGACCCTCTGTGCTTGGCATCATGCCTAGAATATAGGACATCATGTGTAGATGCTCAACAGATGAATAATTTAGTGCAAGACATATGAGAGATAGTACAGAAGGTAATGCAGAAAAAGAGAGAGGAACCCATCCTGGGAGTAGGGGTTGTGTATTTCTCTGTCTTTTTCAGGCAGTGTGCCATGGCAGCTCTGAAGGATGTCCATAATTACCTCAGCCATGAGGAAGGTCACGTTGCGGTAAAGAGATATCCAGTTTCATCCCTCCCCTTGGGTATTTTCTGGGACAGAGAATAGATAATATGTACTGATCATTTAGTTATGCTACACCTTGTTCTAAGTACTTTGCTTATACTAATAATTTAATTTCTTGCTCTCTCCAGATGAGTATTGTTATTATGCCCAATTTTAGAGCCCAGAAGAGCTTATAGAGGGATAAAGTAATTTCACAAGGTTTCACAATGTGTACATGGCAGGACCAGAACTGGAATCCAGATTGTGTAACTTCAGAATCCGCAGTCTTAACTATTTTACTACTTAGTTCCCCTCAAGAATTCAACAGAACTATACTGGAATTTAAGACTGTAGTACAAACATTTTTGAGTTCTAGAAATTTACCTATACACCTAGGTAATTTAGTCTCATACATAGACCTTTGGGATAGGATTTGAAAATTCTAAAAAGGAAAGAGAACCTCAAATATGCAAATGCTCCTACCTAAGGTGCTAATGATAGAGAGGTGTTTCCTGTTCTTGAGGATTTCTAAGGTGATAAGGAAGAGAGCAGTTCTAACTCTGCTCTGTCAGCAGCTCAGTGACTTTTGTCAAATCATATCCTTCTAGGTCTCAGTTACTTCACCTGTAGAATGTCCCTAATAAAAACCTGCAACTTTTCTCTTGCTTTATTATACTTACAGGGTCTAGTACATTTCTGAGTAAACAGTAAGGGCTCAATGAGTGCTTTTGAAATTGACATGAGCCATTTCCAAATCCTTCCTTTCCCTCAAGACATTCATCAAGTTCTAAACCCTTGTGGCAATCATACACTCAGCAAAAATACAGACAAAGTAGTTTTCTATCAACACTATGTTCAGAGTAAGCCAATCTCATTACCTCTCTCTAGGTATTTGATGCTACCAACACTACCAGAGAACGACGGTCACTTATTCTGCAGTTTGCTAAGGAACATGGTTATAAGGTATAGTAACACTCCCACTCTTGTCTACAGCCTACTTATTCAGCACAAACCACAAACATGGTACTTATAACAGCCAAATTAGATTCCATAGGCTCAACATCTTATTTTGGTTGACTAGCTCGTCAGGATATAGTCAGAAGCAGCAAAACAGACTGGAGGTGTGGCTCAAGCAGTAGAGTGCCTGCTTTGCAAGCAAGAAGCCCTGAGTTCAAATCCCAGTCCACCAAAAAGAGAAAAGAAAAATATCCAGAAGCAGCAAAACAACAGGGATAAAGAAGTGCCACATTGGGCAGTGGAAGATGATTGCTGAAAAGCTGAGGGTGGGAGATGATGATGAAGGAGTAGAAAGAGTCACTGTGAAAAACATAAAAGAATTAAAAACCAGTAAAAATGCAAAACAACAATCTAGGGCCATTTGATTTAGAGCTAGAGAGCCTCAGGAAACTCAGAAGCCTGAAAGCACAATTGTATGAAAACATTATGTTGTCAGAGATGCTCCTGAGGATGACTCAGACCCACTGAAAAAGGTTAAAGCTTTGTTTGACTCCTACCAAATATAATTCCCTGTGGCAATCTCTCTGTTGTTTCTCTTATAGGTCTTTTTCATTGAGTCCATTTGTAATGACCCTGACATAATTGCAGAAAACATCAAGGTAAAGGAGCACCAATGATTTTTCCTCCTTACTCTGTTTTAGGTTCGGATCATTCCTAAAAAGACCTCCCTGAACTTCTCCTCTCACTTGAATAGGAAGCATTCTTTGACCATCCTGGTCCACAATGAATCTATGAAATCAGATGAAGGCAGCATATAAAAAGCCCTTAGAATGCAGCAAGCACCAATTTAACTCAGTTTTTCACAACAAACTTGCATGTTAGGAATCATTTCCATGTCAGAGAGAGAAAACTGAGGCTCTAGGAGAAGTGAGTTGTTAAAGATACAGCCAAAAGCTGGGCGCCATTGTCTTGTGCTTGTAATCCTAGCTTCTCAGAAGGTAGAGATCAGGAGGATCACAGTTTGAAGCCAACCCAGGCAAATAGTTCACAAGACCCTATCTTGAAAAAAGCATTACAAAAAAAGGGCTGGTGGAGTGGCTCAAGGTGTAGGCCCTGAGTTCAAAACCCCAATACTGCCAAAAAAAGGATAAAATCAGAAAAAGATAAAGGTGGATTGTATCTCAGGCATGGCTGTCTTCCTGAAAGCCTGTGTTCTTTATTTTGCCCCGCAGTTTATATCAGAACTGTTACTACCCTTAGATTCTTAACATGTGTTCTAGAACTAGATCACTCCTCACTTTTTCATTGTTCCCTACTTCATCAAATTACGAACTCAAGAACAGAAAAGACTTTGAAGGTCATCTCCTTCAACCCTCCATCAAATAATTGAAATCACAGCTAACTGTTTGTCTAGAGTTTCTTTTCATACCTGAAATGACAAAAGGCTCATTGCCTTCAACAAATGCTATCCAGTCAAGCTGAAATCTGCCTCCCTATAACTTCCACACATTGCTCCTAGTTTTACCTTTTGAGACATAGAGTATGTCCAACTCCTCTCTTCCCTTTTCACTACCCATCTATCCATCCATTTATTCATTGAACAGGAATTGATTGTACACCTTTGCTTGGCCATTCTGGGTATTAAAGATATAAAAATTGTTAAGGAGAGTCAGAATCTAGTGAGGAAGGCTGAGAAGTATATAGAACTCTGAGATCAGAGGTGAGGTGAAAGAATGAGGGAGGCTGTGGGAGTACAGTGGTGAGGGCCTAACCTTGCATGTGGGAGTATGCCATGGAAGGCTTCTCAATTGAGATAATAGTTGACCTGCATGTTATGTGCCGGTGTGAAATGTTGCAGGTCAGTGTCAAGGGTTCTTGCCTTCACAGGCCAGAGAACTGGCTCGTGAGGCAGCTGATTGACTCGTGAAACAAGGCCGGTATACAAAGTAGGATTTATTAGAGAGAAAGGAAAGGCTACAGCTAGACCAGTGCAGCAGAGCCTGGGAACCAGTGGCTCTCTGCTCAGGTGAAGGCTGGGGCTTTCTATAGATGCTTTAATTCTGGGTTTGGGTAAGAGTTAGGTGGGTTTTTTCCCATCGGCCGTAGATTTGTGTGTGCGGGCTCTCTTCAGTGAGCTGGTCTGTTTGCCCCTTATGGGGGGAAACAACTTTGAGAGCATTCTGTTTATCAGCCCTGTGGCAGACTTAAGAGACCCTGTTTCTCCTCCTCAGCGTGCAGGAATGCAGATTTATAAGTCATTCTCCTGGTGCAGGGCTCATAGTGCTCTCCATGGGGGATGGGATACTCACTCATCTGTCCCTTAGGTTCCCAGACCCAACATGCATCTTGACACATGCTTGGAAATTTTGCAGGTGAAGAATGGGAATAAGGGAGTAGCATATACTAAGTGTGACATCTCCAGGGAACAATAAGTAGCTTAAATTAGCTAAAGCAAAGTGTGTATGGAAATAGATGAGAAGAGGGTGAAGAAGTAAATTGGAGTCTGATCAATAAAAAGCCATGAGCCATCTGCTAAAATAGTTTACACTTTGTCCTAAATGAGGACAAATGAGGAAATGGTGAAGGGCTTTAAACAGAAGAATGCCATAGTCATATGTGTGTGTTAGAAATATCCTTGTGGCTCCTAGTGTGGCAAATATGTCAAAAGCAGCACAGCTATAGATGTAACAATCAGTCACAAAGCTCTAGTGAGCACAGACGAGAGAGAATAGATATTTAGAAGAAAAATTGGAGAGGATTTAGTACCTGCTAAGAGGTGAGAGATGATAAAAACAGGCATCTGAGGTAACCCCAGATTCCGTGTAGGCTCAGGTGACTGGATGGATGAGATGGGATATCTAGGAGGACAAGGTGGATATTGGGGGATTAGAGCTTCCAGCCCTTCAGAAATCCAATGACAAATTGAGGTGCTGGGAAGCTTAGGTGGTGGCCAAGGGTCCTTTGATCTGCTTGGAAAGAAATCAGAGGTGGACTCGAGCAGCAAAGGTCAGAAGTTTTATTTGCAGAGAAGAGAAAGGAAAGGCCGATTGGGGTCATGCAGTGGGACACGGAAACTGGTGGTCTCCTGAATCAGGTTGGAAATTGAGTTTTATAGCTTTTCTTATTGCCAGAGGGTGGAGATTTTGGCACGGACAGATGTCAAAGGAGAGATGTCTCTCTAGCACGAACAGATGTTTCTTGGGAAGGAGAAGGATTCTAGGTGAGAGGAAACAAGCTTGACAAGTAAGATTAAAATGCAAGGCCCAAACACAAGTAAGAGAATAATGGCAACTATATGCCCCAAAAAGGGTAGGAACCATGTCTTCCAGATGATTGGGGGTGCCAGGCACAGTGAAGATGGTATTTTATGCCTAGTGCCCTAGAGAGTCCCTGAGTTCCTTCTGCCTTAAATGTAGGCCCGTTATCACTTTGAAGGCTTTTAGGGAGACTGAAGTGATGGATTATTTTTGTGATTAGCGCTCAGACCACCTCCTAGAACATTCTATACTGCAAGGAAAGGCCTTTACCCAACCAGTGAACGTGTCCACCAATACTAACAGTAGTTTTGATTTTGGTCCCCCTGGCATATGGGTAAAGTAAAATTTCCAGTCTTCCCTGGGGTAGGACCCCTGCCTCTGTGCTCCTGGCACTTGGAACCTTTTATTTTTGGGATTTTCTTTGGCATATTTAAATCCCTGTACAACTTGTAGAGCAGTGTCCCTTAATTTAGTCCCTTCAAAAATTTTGTTGACCAAAACCAAAGTATTGTCTCAACTCAAATGATAAAGTTGGTGGAGGGTATTAAGAATTTTTCACTGGAGTGGCTTGGGGAGTCATAGCTTCCCTTCAGGCGACACCCACCAGCTCTGGTGATCCAACTTGTACCCTTGGTCTCAGGCTTGTTTACTTTCTTCTGATCAATATTGTGGTCTCTCTGGGGAAGGGAGAGTCCCCTCCCAGAGGAAAGGGCCAGCTGTATTTTCCTGCATGGCTGTCCAGTTTAGCTGCCTCGTCAGCCACTTTGTTTCCCTTTGCTATATTATCTTCCCCTGGTGACCTCTACAATGAATCACTGAGACCTGTTTAGTCAACAGAACAGCATCTAGGAGGGCTAGTATGTCATGTCCATGTCTAATGGGAGATCCTGTTGTAGTTAGCATTCCCCTTTCCTTCCAGATGGCTGCATGAGCATGCAGGATCAGGAAAGCATACTTATCTGTGTAAATGTTGATTCTCTATTCTTTTGACAGTTTTAGGGCTTCTGTTAGGGCCACTAATTTTGCCAATTAAGCACTTGAATTAGGAGGAAGAGGACCTGATTTGAGGATGCCAAATTCTGTTACAACTGCAAACCCTGCATGTCTGACACCATTTTTGACAAAGGAGCTGCTGTTGCTGTATAATTCTACATCTGGGTTTTCTAAGGGCTGATCTATCAAGTCAGGTTGGGCAGCACAATTTTCCATAAGCACCTCCCCACACAAGTGTTCAGGATTTCCCCCTGTCTCTGGTAGAAGGGATGTAGGGTTTAGGCTCTGACAGGTCCTTAAAGTTATTTCTGTCCCTCCCAGCAGATGGGCCTGTTATTTAAGTAGACAGCTGTCAGTCAGCCAAAGTCCTTCTTTTGAGTTTAAAATTCCCCTTAGGTTGTATGGGGTGTAAACTGTCAGGGGCCAGTTTAGGACAAGTTTTTGAGCTTCAGGCACTAGAAGGCTAACTGCAGCAACTGCTCAAAGACATCCTGGTCATCCCTTGGCTACCTGATCTATTTTTTTACTTTAGTAGCCCACTGACTGGGGAGTGATGCCCCGGAGCTGAGTCATAAACATATAATTGAAACTTGTCCTATACTGGGAGACCCAGGGCTGGAACTGTCGTAAGGGCCTTTTTATCCCATTTAATAAAAGGCTGAGGATCCTTCTGTGTTTCCTTAAGGATCTAGTATAAGGGCCTGGCTAGGTCTGTATATCCCAGGATCCAAATTCTACAGTATCCTGTCACCTCCCCCAAAAGGCCCTGAATTATTTAGAGTCTTAGGTAGAGGAAACATCAGGATCAGAGAGATCCTATCTTCTCCTAGAGCCCTCATTTCTTTCTCCAGGACAAGTTACCTAAATATGTAACTTTAGACTGACACAATTGGGCTTTTTCTTTAGAGATTTTGTAACCTATGTCTGCTAGGAAGTTTAGTAAGGATTCAGAGGCTCACAAAATGATGGGTTCAGTTGGTCCACAGAGGAGGAGTCATATACATATTGTGGTAGAGTAGCTTGTGGATATTGCCACTCTGCCAAGTCTTGGGTTACAGCCAACCCAAAGAAATGGGGGCTGTCTCTGGTGGTGAATCCCTGGTGGAGGATAGTCCAGGTGACCTGTCCAGCCTTTTGTATGGGGTCCTCAAAGGCAAAGATAGGTTGACTTTCATAGTGTAAGGGAATGCAAAAGAAGGCATCCTTTAAGTTCAGAACAGAGTAGTAAGTAGTACCAGGGGGTATTTGGGCTAGAGGTGTATAGGGAGTTGGAACTATGGGGTGGAGAGACACTACTGCTTCACTGCTCAGGTGGAGATCTTGGACTAGCCTCCATTTGTTAGGTCCCTTTCTGACCCTGGGAATAGGAGTATTATATGGGCAGGAGCATTCTATTAGCAGTCCCTGTCTCTTTAAGTCTTTGATTATGGGAATTAGTCCCTCCTTGTCTTCCAGTCTTAAAGGACATTGTTTTTGATAGGGAAACTGAGAGGGGTCCTTGAGATGAATTAGGACTGAAACCACCATTCATGCCTGTCCCACGGTATGTCCATCCATCCACATTATGGGGAATACTTGTTTCTCTATCAGGGACAAGCAAAAGTATTCCCCTGGGGGTAAACAGAGCTGCATCTCCAATTTAGATAGAAGGACTCACCCTAGCAGAGGAGTAGGTGTTTCTGGGACAATTAAAAAGGAGTGACAGAAGTAGAAATCTCTCCAGGAGCAGGCTAGAGGCTGAGTGAAATAATGCTCTAGGGGCTGACCTGATATGACCAGAACAGTAATTTTCTTGGAGGACCTGGGTCTGGG